TAATAAATCAAATAAACAGGGCGGTGATGAAAAGTATATTGAAATTTGTTACTATCTTGAATATCTCATTAGATAGTCTCCGAGTAATGAATAATAATGTCTTACTTCAATTTCGGGTCTCAACGAAAGTGAAGACATAATTAAGAATATACAGCTAAGACCTTTACTGTTGTAGGCTCTTGAAAGCTTTCCTGTTTGGCAGGAAAATTGAGTGATAATTGGGGGTTTATATATTTGTAGATGGTGATTTGTAGAAGACGAGCTAGAGATCAAAGATTGAGTTGTGTTAAGAGTAAAGCAAGTAAGAGAAATGTGTATCTAAGAGTAGAAAAGACCTCTATACTAGATGAGGCGGATTAAAATCAGATGACAGATTATATAAAGACTTTATGAGGCTACTCTTTAGTATTTTGAAAAATGGTTGAAATGGAAGACATGACTCCTTTAGATGACAGGGTCCAATAGTCAAAATGCATTTGTTGGATAGTTGAATCAAACGGGTGAGAATATACAGTACATTCTTGGGATTAGGGGCTAGTCTTTAGGACACAAGATAATGACGAAAATTATAGTGGCAATAGCAGCGCTTCTTCATTCCTATATACAATAACAGCAATAAGTAGTTTTGACAACTTCAAGATTTCAAATTCTGAGAGTTTAAATGATCTGAAAAGAACATGTGAATTCATCTCCCTCTAGTATAAAATCTGCCAGATTAGACTAAGAGAAGAGGGAAGACGCTCTATTGAATTTCTCCTTTGGTTTAGTTTCAAGTTCATTATCTTAAGAGTATTGACTATTTTAAAACTTATATAGTCTCTGAAAATCAAGCTTAAATGAATTGGTTAGTCGTGGGATATAACGTGGAACAACTTTGACCCTAGAAAATAGTATCAAGGTCTGTCACGGTATATGATCTTTGAAATATCCTCATTATTTTTTCTCAAATTTGGATATTATTAGTTTCTGATATAGCTTATAATGAGAGAATAGAGAGAGTATAGATAGTAAAGAATTATGCTATTGAACGGGCTTTTATACGGAATACAGGAAATACTAATGCAAACACTGGGTGAAGAATACCTAGCATCAAACTGAATTGTCTAACCATGCAATAAAATACGCAAGAGAAAATCTTAGATGACACTGATAATTCTGGAGATTATTATAATGAGGCTCGCTGTCGCACTTTCACCCTGTGTATCGTATCGATAGCCTTACTGTGCGCACTCTACTCGATGTTGGCTTGACAGGATGCATTAAGGAGCAATTTCCCTAAAGAATTAGCAATTGGAATTAACCGAGCAATTCATTGATAGGGTTATGGTCGTAGATAAAATCTATAGATTCATAGTTGGTCGGAAATACTACTGTCAGTATTTTTTCACAAGCAACATTCTATGTATTAGACAAATCTGAAAGTGTATCGGATCTAAGTACCCACCGTTGTAAAAGAGTAGAAACTTAATTATAAAAAGATTCAGAATGTTAAGAAAGGTTGTGCTATCTTGCATGTAAGTGTTAGCCATTTCACGTCCTTGCCATCTTACCTCCCCCTCTCATCCTCGACTTCTGTCACCCGCCAATAGACATATGATCTTTGTAATCTTTACCCGTTAGTTCCTTCATCTATCTAACCTTAATACATGACAAACATTCTTAGAGATGATGGGAATTTCTTACTTGAATCTTAGTGTCAGACCCTGCCAATTAGTTTTCAAGCGCGTTGTCATTACGGCAACAGGCCATGAGCTTCCGTACTATTTCATAGTTTGACTCGGGTCTCAGCTTATACTTTATTTGAAATGGTACGAAGAGTATTGTGAAACTAGTTGAACTAATTATACTACCCCTTTTATTTTCTGTTAAATTGAAATCAAGTGGATATTTATATAAATTTTAAGTATTCAAGCTAATTAACGACTGGGCTCTAATCGAAAGTTTCTCTTTCGATTCCCTCATCATACTAGTTAGTACTCACACGGGACCAATAACTACAAAATCCTTAGCGCCTAGAATAGATTTTATACCGGTACTACATACACTTCCAGTTATTACAAATAATCAAAGATGTGATTTATAACACGTGGAGCCTGGCTGGAGCTTTCCAATGATTTCTCTAAGAACATTTGAGTCTGATACATGGCCCGGCTATCAGTGCTAGCCCAAGAGATTAAGGGCCCAAGAATCAGTTATTGCTAATGTTTACAAGAATTTGTACAGCAACAATAATAAAGAATCAACAACGGCGATAGACTAGTGTCCTAGTCTTGCAAGCCCAAGCATTTGTTTCTACTTTTGAGCGGCCTGTTGCCTACCCATCAAAAAGAACGCGAAACCTGATCTCAATATAGATAATATACCATTAAACTCTTTCTGATTTCTAGGCATCCGACCTGAAGAACGTAATGAAGAATTCCAAATGGTACTACCCAGCGCTGTATCAGAGAGAACAGTAACTTTCTGACTCCTCGATTAATGTTCTTTTTCTCACCGCTTTCAACGACAAATCGTACTGCTCAAGACTTACTCCAAGGGTGGAAGATGATACAGTTTATATAGTTCCATATAAAAAAAAGTGATTTGTTATCACTGTATCTCTTCTATCTCCTAGTACTAGTAGACTCACACACAAGTCAATTAGCATTTATATAAAACAAAGAGTGAATCATCTGTAAGCAGCGATAGAAGATCAAATATTCCTTTACTAAAGTATATAAAGCTCAAGTTGTTTCAGGTGTAAAGATTCCAACTTAGCTTTTGTTTATTACTCTACCGGATTTGTTTAGTTCTGGCTATGAAAATGCGGATTAGATACAAAGAGAGTTGAGACACTACGAGTAGATACTCGAGTATCTACGATAATCTAGCAACTCTATCGAAAATGACAGCGAGGGAAAATCTCCATGATATGTATGATATGATATAAGTAACCTTAACAACAACAAAAGCATCGAATCTTAGACTTCAACAACAATACACTACACTGATATAATGCCAATTAATCCTCAGAATCTGATCCGAAGTTTTATTTTGATGTATCAGGAATTCATAGTATGGATTGTTGTCACCTCAATCTTGTGAAGGTATAAGTTGCTAGTGTATATCAATAATATGATTAATAGAAAGCTCCTTGGGATCTTATTATAACTTCCTATTCTTATCGCTATTCTTTACCATTTGTCATTTTTGTCTTTTGATATATTGGGTTTCGTCGTTTTTGAGACACAAATTAATGATCTACATCCCGATCATTCACAGCTTCTTACTCACGGGTTGCTTTCATTAACCACCTGTCAAGTATAAAGGAGATACTTGATTTACACCATCGTGCTGTATATCAAGTCTCCACTTCCCATTATGCACCGAGCAAGATCCCTGCTCTTCTTAAAGCAGGTGAGCACTGAGCACTTAAATTTCCGACAGACAGGCTATTTCAATGAGAAAACAGTCGTAACATTCTCAAAGCTGGGAGCCAAAATAATGAGAACTCCAACAGTTTCGTCTCTTTCGAAACTCCTCCATACATCCCTAAATCTTGAATTCCCGGCGGTGGAGAAATGTTCAGCAACGATAAATATTTGTTTTCGAAATCTAAGTTTTAAGCAGATTATTTACATTTAGACTGTGTGTGTAGATACTAATCATTACCCAGGTATATGTACTCGAATGGATATAACGATATAAGAACACGTATTACTGGCATCTGCAATCTTCATATGTCCACAATCGTATCTTTGAAGAATTTGAGTTGGACCTGAACCTGAACCTGCTTTAATACTCGAGTTTACAGAAACAGAAGTCTAGGACTTATAGTTGAGATTCACTATATTCTTAGCTCTACAGACGATCTGGTGACTTACTCGTAGTAGTCATAGTCATTATCTATATATCAACTCCAATTTATACGCTATTCGTGTATCCATATTTTATCAGGATATATCACTTCACTTCACTTCACTTCACTTCACAGAACTAAAACTAATTCCTCAATGCATCCATCACCATATAGAAATATAAACGGGATCCATCTATTCCTATATAAAGACGTCAAGATACTAGAGTATTATACTATCTCATAATTATATTAAATGTGATGACTGTTGTCATATGGGCTGGGCCTACTTTCTCTTTGGCTGCAGATTAGAACTTATAACTTATGACCATGATATCTCTCTGAAAAGATTTTCTAGCTTTGGATTTTCATGGACGGTGTAGATTTAAAGTGAACTTGTCAGGTGTGATAATAATAAACCACCCGTGACAGTAAACCAGCAAATGATTACTTATCACTATTATTGAACTGCCGTCTGATTTTCCAACATGGTGTTTGTGCTGGCAAATTCTCAAGGGATATTCCTCCTTTAGGACAGGATATCAACTAGGGGTAGTACGTATGGAAACATTACACTCTTGGAAACTGTACAAAATTATCCACATGCCAGAGCCTTTGCATTTTGCCATTTTCTCGATACTGAGCACTATCAAACTCCCTGGACCATTGGGCAATTCTATAGCAGAAGAATGGTAATTGTAATCGTGCGAAAAGATCAACTTCTCAACTCCAGAAGTCATTTTTTCTCCTAGCTTCTTCGATTCACTAAGGGGTTGACACTAGTCTTTCTGGGTTTATCTCCAATTCTTTGATATTTTGATAGTTTGGTGGCGTTACTCATAGATCGAGAGACATCTCATCAATATGGGGAGTGGAGACTGTATCGAAATGGTATTTGAGAAAGGTGTTGATTTTGATGGGTGCGGGATTTCAGGGTATCGATGCGGATTCGAAGATATGGAAATGAAAGCAGAAGACTAAATAACACATGAACATAGGCTTTTAATGGGAGTGAAGCAGGGCAGAGATACGATTAATTGCGTTATTTTAAGCGCATCAGATTTATATATTATTAATCGCATAACATAAGTAAGGCTACTTTAGATATCATTTTTCTCTTTTCTCCATCAAGTAATACGTCTCGCACCCCTTGACCACAGAATTCCTACTTGACCTGCACTACAAGTTTCTTTCCACTAACCCCTGCCTTCAATTGATCGAAAACTTTCTGAGCAGCTGCAACCCCACCATCAACAATCTCAATAGGTGGAGAAGCGACTAGATACTTCTTCTCCAAAGCATCCTTGAGAAACTCATTGAAGAACCAAGCACCGACATCTTGAGAATCCATACCAAGTCTAATAGCGACAGTTTTCAAAACCTCGACATCGTTGGGCTTTGCATGTGTCTCTGGCCAATCAAGCGTCAAGGCGAGTTTGCCGGCTCCTCCTGCAGTCGCAGATAGGATATCGGCGGAGAGGATAAAGGTATCACCTTCAGTGATGGCATCAAGTCCGAGGGTCAGATTGGCAGCAGAAACCTTGACAGAACGTACCACTCTACTCACAACCTCTGCATCATGATAGTCGAATGTGGCAAAGGCACCGAGAGATTGGAGATATTCGTGATGTTTTGGACTGGCCGTCGTAAAGACTTTGTAGCCCAGAGTATTGGCAAGTTGGATGGCAGCAGCGCCGACGGCGGAAGCTCCGCCCCATACGAAAAGGGCCTCGTTTGTCGGTTCGACTTTGCCGATTGTACGAGGGATGTCTAGTAAGAGGTAGAAAGCCGTGGCGACGGTAGCGTATGCCATGGGAAAAGTGGAGGCCTCCTCATACGACAAGGTATCCGGAATATTTGTGGTAGCGACTTCTCGAAGGAGAGTATATGTTTGCCAAGCACCGTGATCAATATTTTGATTGTAAAACACGGCTGCAAATCCTGTGACTCGGTCTCCGACGCTGAACTTTGTGACGGATGATCCGACGGCTTCTATGATGCCGGATACATCGCTGCCGAGAACGTTGGGGTATTCGGTGACATAGACGGTCCACGCTTGGATTTTCCAATCAGCGGGGTTTGCTGCTATAGCATGATTGCGAATGAGGAGTTCATCTGGACCGGGTGTAGGAATGGGTCGGTTCTCGACGGTTACCTGGTTTTTTGGGTTCTTGATGATGGCAGCGAGGTTGGTTTTTTGTTGGGTAGACATGTTGGTAACGATGAGGAAGACTGAGTTGAGCTGTTCAAATACTACGGTTCAGGGTAGATATATATACTTGTGAAGTGATAGATTAGTTCACCATCATGAGACTATCAATATGGAGTTAGTAACTAAGTATACTCCGCAACATACTCTTATTTTGATTTGTAACAAATGAACAGATTCGTCAGAAACAAAATAACTCTTCTGAAAATGAATATTGGTAATCCAGAAGTTGTAAAGTTGATATTGAATCCGGCTAAAGTCCATAATACGGGTTTATTTGTGGAGGATATTTAACTCCGGTCGTTTGAGAATTGATGACAGATCAATTGCTGCTCACTATTGCTATAATTTTTCAAGTCTGAAAAATCTGCAGCTGAATGAGTATACATCTGTCGAAATCAATTGTATCAATATCAAAGTACCAGTGGCTAATTGGTAGATTTTGATGGCCGTCTTGATGGATGGTGGCGGTATGTTATTGAGCGGAGGACTGAAGCTGTCCATAGGACCATTCTAGAACCATCACCACAGTATGTGTCTGGCAATGAATTTGTTCCCAGATCAGTTACCAACTTAGATAATAGGTCAAGCTGTTTCTTGATAGTTCTTCGAACATATTTTTATACAAAGGCCTTAATGTCACGTGATTGACAACTTACACTAAGCAATATTATTCTAATCGTCACTCATAAAACTGCAGGAGCGTAGGGAACGAATGGCTAAACAGTCTAAACTCACCTCTCCGCACCTTAAAACCATGAATCGTCATGTATTTTCTACAACTTCTCCATTTTTGGTGTGTTATACAGCTCTAACTAGAAGCAACTGTTATTTGAGGGTTTTGTTCTACCTGGTATTCATATTCATCCCGAATGATTCATTTATACTATTAACGAAACTTCATCCACAATGAATGAGCCATGCGAAGATGACCTCCCCGTAGTCTGGACTCTTGAAGAAGCGGAAGTCTTTGAAAAATTGCAGAAGGACATGGAAGAGGCTACTGATAATGACTACCTGACATTTTTTCAAAAGAGTAGGGCAGAACAAGAAACTTATCTTCGCACAGGTTCCTAGTAAGTTCGTTCTTTGCTAATGAGTGAGTGATACAGTCCATACGAAAGGTATAGCCAGTCGCTTTCGAGATTGGATCACATCAGTCACGATCAAACTTAATCATGACTATGGTTCGTCCGTTGCTATTCGCAACGTTATCATCTATCAGTTGGTACATCATCATCATAAAAGATTCAACATCATGAAGTCTCGGTCAGAACGGCCCGATATGGGCAAAGATATCATGTATGCTCTGTCCCAAAAGATGGTGGATCTGCAGGACCAATTGGTCGCAAGTGAACAAGGCTTGGTCTTAAATTCGAACTTGATCGTAACAGCCGAAGCAGTAATGACCTGCGCCAAACGCTTTGTCCAAAAGATGGAGAACATTCCAGAGGACTTCTTTGAGTCTCGAATGTCCTACTCTAATTCACAGTCCATTCTATGCAGCCTATGCAAATTGAGTCAAAGAGCTTTTTTCGAAACCCAGTTCGACCGTTTCGTGTCAAACAATATTGAACGGGAAGAATCCGAAAGAAAATCATGGGAAAATCGGCGGAGAATGGATCAGTTGGCATATCTACCTGGGCCAGACGCAATCAATCTTTTCAAGGCCATATGGCCACCCCTCAGGAGTCCACTCTCTGGGAGCTATGAAATGCACCACTTCAATTCACCACGGGGTGCCACAGATAACTTTCCCCAGTTTTCACGATTGCCGCTCGAAGTCCGCTATATGATATGGAAAGCTGAACTACCGAAGAATGGTCGGATTATCTTTACAGAGGAATCTCGACCTGAAGGTCTTCCTTGGAAATGGACCCAGGAAGCGCGATATCCTAGACCTCCTCTCCACTTGATTTGCAAAGAATCATATGAGGCTATGAAACAAGTATACACTTTTACAATTGAATTGATGAGGAATTACAGAGGCAAATTGGACCGAGATAAACTCCGTCGATATTTTGATGTCGGGGGGGATAACTGGAAAGATATTCCTAGGCTTGATATGGCATGTATAAATCCAGACAGGGACATCGTGTATCGAGGTTCGTCTAATGGTCACCATGTTCGTGACAACATGATATCTTCCAGCTACTGGACCAGAAAGTTATTTGGACTTGCTCAAGTAAAGCACCTGGCGCTCAATATGGACTTTGTCTATGATGCGTTCCATGAACCAATTATTGAAAACTGCATCAAAACGACCCGCATCAAAACGGAGCAATTAGATCGTCTAGAGGCCAGTTGTCCGAATTTAGAAAGTCTGACGATTACTTGTGACCATCGAAAATACGCAGAGAGACATTTTGGACATCTCTGCTATCTGGGTCAGAGTTTTAAATTAGTCGATGTCGATTTCAAGTTCTTCTTCGACGACAAATTCGCGACTCCAGGCCACTACCATTCATTGATTCCGTCCCTCGAATATTGTGACGAACTTTTCAAGTATGCTCGGGCAAGGGGCTCCAACTATTGGCAGCGGCTGAAATTGAGGACGGCCGTCTTAGTGAAGCCTATTCGTGGTTGGCATGATGCCAGTGATGTGTATATTCGCTACGAGAGTTTAGCTTTGCCGCTTGAAGATCCTTCAACGTGAGAAGAGACGGAAGGATTTTACCTTGGTGTTTATTTGATCCTAGCCAAAGGAAATGGAAGGAGGTTTGATTTGAATAAAACGCTGATTCAATCCTTTTACCTTCTTAACTATAGGTTAATGAGGGCGGGTTCAGTAAATTATCAGTTTTTTTATGAAAGGAAATCATCAGTAATTCAGTATAATTCATCAGTTTCTGTCTTTTCGAATACATACTCGAGTACAATAGTACTCAGTAGAGCTTCCGGCTTTCATATACCGTAGCCTTTTCGTTGTGCCACACCTAACCAATACCGGTAAGGTTAACCGTAATGTATGCGCCACATCTCTATATTTTCAGCCCCCCCTTTCTCAAGGCTGAACAACAGCCTCATTCACTTTTTCTGAAATCAAAACCTCCCCTGTACAATCCATTCCTCGGAACAATCCAATATCTCTACTTCCAGACACTCCATATATAATATGCCACTCTTCACTCTCCCCATAACCGATATATCTCAAACATCCACCACAACTCCTCAAATCTACTTCACATCTCTTTCCATACGCCCCCAGAAACGCAAAAGACGCGATAGCGATAGTGACCAAGATGATGATTTCAATAACGATGCAACCGCGAATACGTATAGTAATACAAGAAAAGGGAAAGAAATAGAGAATGCAGAACCGTCACAGCCTTCTGCAGAAACTACCAACCCATTGAGTTTAACTCCTGCAGAGGTGATGCAATATAGATTAGCAGGCTTGGGACTCGATAAAGAATTACCATCGAAGATTGGAGTGAAACATTGGCCTCATAGAGGTTTACCTCAAACTTACCATATCAGTGCGCATGATCGCGACGTTGCTGCTAAGTCTCGCGGTAATGAAGACGAGGATTCCGAAGAAGAATCAGCTAAATCTCGAAGGGAAAGAGAGAGACTCAAGAAAGAGGAAAGGAAGACTGGCAGGTCGAATTTGAAGATTCAGCATTTGAGTGTGCTGGTTGCGATTATGATGAGGAATCTGGAAGAAGGGGATATGGAAAGGGCGGGACGGGCTTGGGGATTGCTTTTGAGGATGCAGGTTGCGGGAAAGGGAGTGGAGATTAGGAAAACGGGATTTTGGGGGATTGGGGCTGAGTTGTTGATGAGAGGGGTGGTTAATAAACAGAGAAAGGAATGGTGGGAAGAGGGTGCGGGGGAGGGAAGCGGTGATGAGGAGAATGTCAAGAATGGAGGGGGACCCAAAGAAGGAGATGTAGATGGAGAAAGAGAAAGAGAAGGCAAGGAAAGAGAATATAGGAGATACGGTATGGCCGAAGGACTCATGAAAGCAAAGGATTATTATGAACGACTTATTCTTCAGTACCCATACAAACGACAATTTCACGGTTCAGTTACCGCGCTAGATTTCTGGCCTGCAATGCTTGGATGCGAGATTTATGGAATACAATTCGAACACAAAGATGAATTACGAAAGATTGCCAAGCGAGCAGAAAAGGACGAAGATGGGGATCTGAGCGATAGTGATATCAGTGATGAAGACGAAGATATGAATGATGAGAACGAAGAAAAAGGAGATCCAGGGGATAAAGCATTTTTAGCTCATCAACGGCGGCAAGTCCGTCTCCAAAGCCGACGAAAGGAAAAGGGATGGGAAGAAAGAGATGCAGTCCGACGCACAGCACTAGTAGCCACCGAACTCGTAGCACAGCAAATGGATGAATTAATGATCACACCGCCATACTCGGATTCGCGAGTACTCCTAAGATTACGAGGTATGGTGGCGTTATATATTGGGGATCTATGCGTGCCAGAGAAATGGGAAGGTGATGAGGAGTGGTTGGGGAAAGTCAGGGGTACAGCCATGGAGGCAGATAAGAGATTTCTGGGACGACAGAGAGATGCGGAGGTAAGGAGGGGTGCGGAGAAGAGGGAGGATGAGAGGAGAAGGGCGAGGGGTCTATTTGGGAAAATTGGCGTGCAGTGGGATGATGGGGATGAGGCGTTGGATTTGGATATGACGTTGGAGGGTTATGAGGGGGATGATTGATATGATGAGGGGCGTGTTGTATTTCGGATATTGGATTGGGTTGGCATATTAAAGATCAAGGATTAAAGATCAAGGAGTTCTAATCTAATATGCGTGGGAGTTACAGGATAGATACCCTATATCAATTTCAATTTATATTTATACGAGCTTTGACTCCGGCCCCTCGGTGCCGGAAAAACGATTCGCCTCGCTGCGCTCTTCGAATCGTTTTTTTAGGGCACCTTGTTCCTACGTCGCAGCTCGTCCTCCGGAGGTATGTTAACTTGATATTCATGTAGATTGAATAGTATTCTTAAATATCATCTCTTTAGATTTTGTTTCATTGATTATTTTAAGAAGTGTACTAATATTGAAAGCTGACCATAGGAAAACATGTGACTTTTTCAAAGAAATGTTCATTTTCGTGCACTGACCATTGCATCATAAGAGTGTTTTATAATATGAAAGGTTAGATTTTCACTATCTTCCAGTCGGTAGTTACCTTTCCGGAAGCACTCTTCTCATCTTGTTTGGTCCATTTACTTGAACATATGTTAGTTATGTCGTACATCTCATCTCACTATCTTAGATAAACTTTTCTATACTTATAGATGTAGATCGCAAGCAAGTTAGTTCTGGTTACTGCAGTGTTTTTGGGGTATGGTATGGGATGGTATGGTATGGTGTGGAGTGGAGTTGTGGTGTACTAGTGTTGGATTGTGCGGCGTTGGTTTATAACGTATTGGTATATACTCGAGTATACTATTCCAAATTCGATAGTTACGGTACATGTCTTTGAGCAGTGATCTGGTCTGCTCTCGCTTCGAGTCTGGTGTACAGTTTTTTATTTTACGTGGAGGATTTTTGTGTATATTGTATTGTATTCTTCACGCTAATTGTTGACTATTTTATCGAATATATTATCATGGTTCGTGTTCAAGTTCATCTCCCAATATCTCTCTTTACCTCTAACTCCTAGAGTAATACTATCCCCTAACTTCCCAAAATACTGACCTCACTTCATCCATACAATCTAGCTTATTCATTACCCCTTCACCTTTCACCTTTATCCACCTTCTCTTTCCTCTCCTCCGTCCCTACCAATTTCTTATAAAAGAAAACCTCCGTCTTCAACTTCCCCCGTCACAGACCAAACATCATACTCGGGAATCCTTCCACACTTCACTCATCACGTAATACGTTAGCCTAATCTCCACTCTCCAATCTCCAGTCTCCATCATTTATACATCACATTATATCAAATCTCAAATCTCGAGGTCATCACACACGAATGAACAATATATAAACTTACCTCAATATACCCCATCCTCCTATAAATGCCCTCCGCTGAACTCCCCAAATCTGTATCTAGCATCTAATAGAACATAAATCAACTCAAGCAATCACAGAGCCAGATAGCAGTAAAACCAAAGAAATGAAATAAAATAAAATAAAATAAGAAATCAGAAACACACCAACAACCAAGCCCCCTTCTCCCACGCCACCCTCTCCACCTCCCTCATAATCCCCGTCCCAATCCCTTTACTCCTAAACTCCGGATCCACCATAAATTTCTCTACGAATCCTCTGTGAGGCCCCGTCTCACTCTTTGGCGTGGATAGCATGCATACGCCTGCTACCCTTATTTTCTCATCTTTCCCCGGCAATCTTACCTCTCCAGTCCGAGGAACCATGATGAAAACAATATGTCGTGTCCCAGCAATCACCTCATCAAAGCGTTCGCGCCACCAAGATTCTATAGAAACAAGTTTCTGCGCGGGGAATGGAGGGAGGAAGGTGAGGATGGGGTGGGGAGAGGAGGGGTGGGGGTGGCGGTGGGCGAGTCGATATAGAGGGGAGAGAAAGACATGTTGATGTTGGTGTGGGGTTGAGAGATGAGAGATGGGTTGGAATCAGATTAGGGTGCGGGATAGAGGATGAGTCTCATGGGATATGGGTGATATGGGTGATATAGATATAGATGTGGATGTATATGATTGAGGATATCACATTATATTATGTATTTTGTGAGGATATTGTGATTTGAATTAGAATTGAATATACTGAGAACCTACTCGAGTACAGTATATCATAATGGTTACGAGTCACTGGGCAACCCCTTTGAAGTACGGAGTGAGTAAGCAAGATATCGTGACGCATTTGTAGTAACATGGGGTATCGCTACTTGTAATTGGCTGTTGTCTGTTTGTTGCGGGGTAAATACCTAGTAGATTGATTTTTTGAAATTGGGGAATTGAATTGAATGATATACAAAAAAAGCAATTTCTAAATTTCTTATGTACAGTATCAAAGGTGTGTCTGCTCAAGCTTAATTAAAGTCCTCTCCCATTTAAACCAACAGTCAAACTCACCTCATTCGGCTCACCGAAAACCCCCATTCCCCATTCCTCATTGCTAATACTAATACCAGTATCCTTAACCTTAAACGAGATGGAAAGTTCAAAGTAAGTAAGTGGCGAGCTCTTTCCATCGAAAGATTCGAATACTTCTCATTTGTACTCAAAACCAATACCGGGAATCGTAAACCGGAAAGCTCCTGCTGCTGTACGATTCAAAATCTGTGTGTCAAGTTCCAAGAGGCATAAATGGTTTGTTTGTCATATGTGGTGTTATACGGGAACCTGCGATGCCCGTCCTGTCCTACCTCGGGTTCGGATTGCAAGGCATATGATATGCTGTTGTTCAAAATAGGGTTCGGTAATGCCGATGTCTGGAAGTTTCTGCATTTGTTGAATGCTTTTGAAGGGAAAGCACGATGTACTGGTGAATACCGTAGATGATGATCATCGTTGGTGTCACAGTCATCTCTTTGGCACCAATGCCACCAAGGTACAGCAAAAGTGTATAGTATTTAGATTATATTCTGAGTTTTCGTATTGGCGGCTCTCGCGGTACTCCAACCTCCTTTTCTGCCACCATTGCGCTATCGGAACATGCGATGTAATGAAGACAATAAGCTGTACACGTGCCGCGCCCGAAGCTATTTATAAATCATGAAAAAATCATTAGTACCGGTGGTACCTGATCAAGGGTCTTGGAAAGGCTTTAAGCTTGAAGTTTACGACTCAGATACCGGTACTTGATAGTACTAAATCTCGTACCTACAAGTCAAGCACAAAAGCACAAAAGTATCGTCATAATCATTCGATGGCTCCCGGACTTCATCTGAATGCATCCCTCTCCGTATCTGCCGACGGTGATGTACAACATATGTCGGGAAGATAATCCTTTCCAAGTTCATCCAATCCTTCACCCTCATTCAAAAAATGGGAAAGATGGATCCGTATCCGTGCCCTGTCGATCGGATTCAGGAATATATGCATAAAATGTAGTAGTACAACACAAACGTCGTCGTGGCTGAAAATGGCTGAAAATCCTCCAATGAAGGGGCTCCTTAAGTTTAAGCGAACTTGGCATAGCATCACTTTCCCGATCCTTTCCTTCCTTCTCTTCTTTTCCCTTGCACTTAACTAATCTCATCCAATCTTTCCCGGTTTTGTGGAGTAATTGAAGATCCGATACACAGCCTCTTTCAGGGTTCTCTTGCACCTTGAACCAGGTTTAAAGTTATGCCTGTGATGGTTTTGAGTGGATGATGACGGTGATCGTCGTGCAACGACCAGCCACCACCACGGTTCATGGTAGCACTTACCCGCCCTTTCCAAAGATATTAAATCATATGATGCACAAGGTCATTGTGGGGTGATGAGATGTTGATATAAATATCGAAGAGGTTTCTCTTCTCTTGGAAACACAACACAAACAAATCATTATCAACTCATTACTCATTACGAGCATCACGGCACCATTTGCTTCAAAGAATCCAATCGTTCGAAGAAACCAGAATCAGCTACACCATACTGAGTAACCTCACAAGACTTACACACATTTTCATCACAACTTTACCTCAACCACACACATCCATTACCACACATCGAAATGTTATTCTCAACCACAAATTTCCTGAGCACTCTCGCTCTCCTCACCTCTTTCGCATCCGCCGCTCCTACAATTAAACGACAAACCTACAGCTACCCACCTCAATCTACATCCAAAAACTTCAACCTCGTTGCCAACGTTACCTCAGGCAATCTAGCCATCAACAACTTTGTAGTCGAGTCCTATCACACAGGTGCCGGAACTGCATTCGCAGTCCTTGCTGAAAACACCACCATAGCCAACCCCCGCATCTTCTACGTAAATGGCACAGCCACCGATGTTCGTTTCGGTAACTCTTCTACCATTTCCGACACAGGTAGTGGAATTGATACCTATCCTCAAGCCATCATCATTTCTCCGTCCGACCCCGCCCTCTCATCATCCCCCAACGGTTCTGTTGTGAGGATGGACATTGCAGCCGGTCAACCATATGTAGGACTTACTACATTCCCCGACCCAATTATCCAATTACATGGCTACCAAGGCGAAACATTCTACGCCTGCAACAATACTCTTCTTTATGGAAACGCATTCCAACTTTTCTACAGGGGATATAGCCAAGTAACACCAGCTGGATGCTCCGACGTTGCTCTGCTGCCTCAGTGCAGTGAGGCAAGAGGAGCTGTTAGCGAATTCGCTGCGACTGTGGGTTGTTATGCGGATGTGGCGGGCATCGATTGGAGTCTTTACAGTGCATGAGTGCATGTCTTCTTTGTGAAAAGGAATTGGGTCACATAATGATTAATGAACGGCATGGTTATGAACATGAAAAGGGCGTTTACGGAATGGTTATTGGGGGTTTTATGATACCATACCGTTATCGGGTACAATCGATTAATAGAATAGATGATGACGAGAAGTCTGAATAATGAATGAAAGAAAGTATACACTCCATCAGTTTATCTAATATCTCGTCCTTGCATCCCGTTACTTGTGAACATTGTCTACATCGTCGAGCCTCCTAGTATTAGAAGAAAAAGTTACTCAGATAAACTATGCCAAGTGATTTTGCTTAGTCATTAAGAGGGAGGCTTTCCGTTTGTTGTTATCTTCTTCCTTTCCATCCTTTCCACACGTTTGTCACCACCAAGTCATTTATTTACTCTTCAAGATGCTTTTTTTCGAATACGTTGTACTGTACTGGCTAATTTTATCTAGCCAAGAGCTTCACTGTCGCTCGAAGTTTATTTTGTCCTGGGTACAAATGCAGCTGCAATACTGATCTCTGTACTCCCTAGCAATTTCCCTGCGACATATCCTTCAATCTCCAAATTCCGACCTTTAACTTTCATGACAAGCTCGAAATCGATTCGATAATGTCTCTTTCCCTTGATGCCTTCCTCTTCTTCTGTCGGCTGTATGGTACCCGATCTGATCAATTCGCCCATGTCTAATTTAATTGTACCTGTCCTTTCAGCTCCTGTGGATTGGGTCAGTCTTGCCTCAAAAAGTGTTTTGAAGTTTAAACCTTTATTCTTGGGATGTGTGAGCTTATAATCTGACTCAGTACTATTGTCTGAGATATATAACTCTTGCTCATAAATAAAGGTCTTTCTTGTTGCGGCGAATATGCGATAAGCTGGTATGCGATACTCTTTTGCAGCGGGAATTATTTCTCCCTTGACAGTCTTTAGCAAGTGTGGTCTCTAAATATGCTAGGTAATACATTGGCTCGCGCAGATCAACTCACCATTTTGACTACCCACTCGATTACATCCACATATGCTACACCATCATTGCTATCGTATTTCGGTTTCACGTTTTTATGCGCTGGTATCGCCTTGGGGTTGAATTCATCCTGCAATCGAAACCTGTAACTGCATAAGCTAATTCTTTCAAGCTCGTCGTCTTCTTCGACGAATGCTCGCAAGATAGCACCGCTAGCCATGGCAGTTTCACTGATACAAACTTGTCAGTTTAAACTTATACCTTGATAGGACTCTTACAGTGAACTTGGGTTGGCCAAGATCTCAAGCTCAATGTATATCCCCGATTGCTTTCTCAATTTCCTCAACCGTTTTCCAATGCGTGTCGGAGTGAAGGACTGTTAGAAAACCCTCCGATAAGTATTATCTTCTACACAGTGACATTGGACGTTAGTTCTACACAAATCACCGTGTCTAGTTCAATTACCTTCACGTCCAATCCAGCCTCTTGTGCTAATGTGATCTGATCGAGCATCAAACCCCTAATTCCTTCTAGGCACCTCTCAAATGTTCTGAAAAAGTCGTTCCCAGGTGTCGTTAACACTGAAACTAGCAAACGCATCGCAATTTGTCTACCGTTTTATGACAACGCGATTATTTGTGAAACCCTTCTCTTGACTCTCGCGAATGCCATCGATGTGGATGGCAGTGCATGGCATAAGCTCATTTGTCACATCTATCGTTCTTTTCAACACATTTTCGAACTTTATAGTTTGTTGGTCGACGATTCCTTCGATGGTTCTTCCATTAGTTTCTATGTCAGATCTCTCACCCTCTAGACGCCCAATAGATATTTTCTAAATGCTTCATTGAGATAGCTGGAGCCAAAAAGACCACCTATACACCGTTAGCAGATGAAACATCTGGAACGATGTCCTCATACCCCTTGCCGCCATCTCTTCTCTTTTCAATTTGAGAGGGTCCACGTTGTTGACCATGTATGTGGTTACATCGACTGTTCCTCCACCAGCATCCAAAAGGATGAATGTCTCGCCAGGCTTGATCCAATCAATTGTGGGACCTATCATAGGGGGATATTCCTCACAAAAATGCTGTTACTGTTTGCTAGCACGTAAGCTGCAGCTGCTTCTGGCTCCGAGACCAGGAAAAGATTATTAACGCTTCCAAGTTCCGACCGTTGAATGGCGACTTCCATGGCGCTTTGCATTTTCCGACACGCGCTCACCGACCAGATCACAGGTACGCATAAGACATTGTTTGCCGCATCCACATACATCATCTTCTGCTATGGTAAATGTCGACTCACGGGACTCCTGCCTTTGGCCCACAGTAGCTGTTCTCAATGGGAAGCATAAGTGCATAAAGCCACCATCGAGTAGCAGAGTTGTGTACACCCAGACTGATGACGGTATAAAGATTGACGATGTATTGCTTGATCTAGCGAAGGGGGAAATTTCACGCCTGCGAACGAAACTACAGGATAAAAAGATCGAATTACGAGACTCTGAACAGGAACGAGGTGATTTCAAATGAGAGGCGCGACTTTTGAGGTCAAATCAAAAGCTGTTAGAGAAGCATTCTGTCGAATACCTTGTGCATCAAAGGGACAAAGAAATTACAAGATCAAGGAAGGAGCTCGAGGAGCGGAAGACCTTGTCACAATTTACTAAGCTGGGTACTACGTCTCATCAAGCCTTTAACGAAGATACCATCGAAAGAATTTCTGATGTTTTTGGTACAATTGAACAACTTCCATACAGAAAATGATTCAGTAATTGTACCTCCTTTATTAAATCAATACGACAAGCTTGAGGCCCTCATTTCCGAAGCTATCGGTCAAGGTTGGTCATCACCGCAAGTTACTGCGGATCTTTGGGGCAACCTCGCATCATCAGATTCGTTAGTAGTTTTGAGAGCATTAAAATCATGCTGCTTAAGGATTTGGGTGTTCGAGTCCGATTTCCCGCAACTTGAGGGATCATCGTCAGAATATTGGGTGAGCTTGCGGAAAACTTTGACAATCGCAGGTAAGCTCAAGACTTTTCGGTTCCATTTGAGGAGGCGTGGCTAACTCGCTATTAGATGGAGTTGTAGCGGCGAGAAACCTTGATTTGGCTACCCGTCATGCCATGATAATGGACGAAGACTTTATATCAAAGTTCATCAACCCTGACGCAGAGCGTCTAACGATCCGATACTCTGATATTATGGAGCCTTTATTCTCTCAAAGTCCTAACAATTATGTTCGCAAAAGCTGGGATGTTTTTTCGACTTGGAACGCTGACAAGGAGGTATGGCAGGAACGGCAAGGTCGACTCCACATGTTCCGAGTGGCGTTGAGAACCAAAGCAGAATCCACGTTGAATCTCAAGGATTATGAAATGGTGACGTTTCCGCCAGATACTCCATACGATCATGACTTAATGATTGTTGAAACCTACGGCAGGATTGATGATGAAAAGAATGACGGTTGTGTTGTTAAATTTTGCACTCAGCCGGCAGTTTTTGTACAGAACAAAAAGAGGTTAGCAGATATCGGCAGCACTTCTGAATTGTCATCTACTTCACAAAACTTTGTGCGCAATTCTGCTCGACGGAAACCTGGGTTGAAGCCATCTCTCAAAGCTGTCGTAATAACACGGAAACGCAAAAATGATTCTCACGCTCCCCATGCCAAGAATCAAATCTCATAGCTCGAGAGGTGTAAGCTTGTCAGCATGGCTGATTAGGGCTTTTCTAGATCATTCATCACCCCGCGGAAACGAACCAATCGTAACCAATGAGAAGGAGGTGTCCCGAAAAGTGGTCGAATTTCACTCTATATCTTTACAAGCTCCGACGATAGCCAAGCAATAACGGTGAAGATTGCATCAATAATATCTGGAAGAGTGGCGTAAATTTCACGGTAGATCAGACGTGTCTCGAATGGCGTTCGCGAAGTTTTCGCGATTCAGTAGGGGGAAAACATGTTCCTTGACTGACCCAGATGGATCAAATCTTATTGCCTGTGGTCGTTGAGTACATTGGGGTGTTTTCCAACGTTTCATTTGGAAATGGAGATGGCCTATCATGGTCAGTATAACCTCCGACGCTATTTACCCCGTGAAGAACGTAAGCAGAAGAACGTCCTGCATTGATTGGTTCACACAATTCTGTATCATTTCAGCCATTTGGTTACATGGATAATCTGCATACCTCATTGCAACCTCAAAACTACATATCCAGACAACATACCATGTTAGATGCCTACATGCATCTGCTTATCTTCATTCTTGAGCCATATCTAGATGTAACTTCCCACTGCATCCGAGATGTGTACACGGTAGATGTGTATATTGTGAAACATTACACTACCTGAGAGCTGGTATTTCTTAACGTGCACGCTATCCATTAACGAACGTCTTTTGGAGATCATCGTCTCAGCTTTGCAATATGGTACTAGAAAGCAAACAGATAATAGACGAGAGTGCTATATACGTCACATCCTTATTCCAAAGGACAGGCGACCACGCAATAATTAATCATGAAGCCGACACCGACGAGGAAATTCTTGTCTCCTTGGGATATAAACAGAAATTCAAAAGAGAACTATCCATCTGGTCGTCATTCGGTGTTTCTTTTTCGTGTTTAGGTCTCCTACCATCAATTGCATCGACTCTTGGCTATAATCTTGCTTATAGTGGGCCAGCAGGCTCGGTATGGGGATGGATCGTCGCAGGAGTACTGATACAGTTTGTCGCGCTGGCAATGGCCGAATTGTGTTCGAGTATGCCGACAGCCGGAGGTCTATATTATGCTTCGGCAGTTCTGGCACCGGAGGGCTATGGACCTTTATGTTCTTGGGTAGGTTTTACTGATCTCCCTGATGTCTGGACCTGTATTCATACTTCGATAGATAACTGGATGGTCAAACTTTGCCGGCGAAGTTACAGCGCCCTGCGCCATAAACTATGCACTCGCAGCTATGATCTTAACGGCGGCTCAAATCGTCCATCCTGAGTATGTGATTCAAACATATCACGTGTATCTGCTACTCTTGGCGTTACTATTTATACAAGGACTTCTGGCCATGAATTCTACTCGGTTCATTGGACAGTTGAACACTTTTGGCACAGTTACAAATGTGGTCGTGCTTCTGATCTTCATCGTTTGGTTCCCGGCAGGATCGATCAATGAGCCGAAGACCAATCCAAATAGTGTAGTATGGACTTCGGAAGGTATTATTAATGGAACGGAATGGCCCACTGGGTTTTCGTTTTTGATGGGGTTCTTGTCTGTTTTTGTAAGTATTCCACGCCCTCGTTTGAACTCTGACTCACAAGGAGATAGTGGACATTAGCTGGTTTTGATGCGCCATTCCATTTGAGCGAGGAATGTTCGAATGCCAACATTGCTGGTCCGAGGGCAATTGTCATGACAGCTCAATTGGGACTATGGCTTGGCTGGGCAATCATCCTGGTCGTTGCGTATACAGTAAAGGATATTCAAGATGTGGTTTCCGGGCAATATGGACAACCGATGGTACATTATACACGCTCGTAAGCCCGAATCTCATCACTAATTGTTTGACAGGGAAGTTTATGTCTCCAAGTTCTTGGCCCAAAAGCCGGACTTGCGATGTTCTCACTAAACATCTTCGCTCAATTCTTCTCCGGACAAGGGTAAGTTATCGATTTCATCACTTCACCCTCTCTATATATTCGAATCACGAATTTGACTTATCACAAAATTCAGCGTCGTAGTTGTCTCGTCCCGCGTTGTCTACGCCTATTCACGAGATGGTGCCCTTCCCGGTTCCTACTGGCTCAAACAAGTAAACTCGCACACCAAAACCCCCGTCTACGCTGTCTTGTTCGTACTTATTCCAGGCGCTCTCCTGGGCCTCCTGATATTCGCAAGTCCGGTGGCTATTGGGGCGATTTCTAGTATGGGTGCTATTGCGCAATATATTGCTTTTGTGTTCCCCATTGCGCTAAAGTTGTTTAGTGCAAGGGGAAGGTTCCGTCCTGGTAATTATTATTCCTACTCCCTTAGCCAGAGAATTAATGAGATTATTAACTAACGATCTACCCCCCCCCCCCCCCCCCCCCCCCACAGGTCCCTGGAATCTAGGCCGCTTTTCGACCCCCGTTGGTATCATAGCGGTCATGTGGGTTGCATTCATAACTCCAATTCTCTGTCACGGGATCAGATTTAAATGATCTTAATATGAACTATACGTGTTTGATCTATGGAGGTGTAATGAGTTTGGCGATGGGGTGGTATGCGGTTAGTGCGAGGAAATGGTTCAAGGGGCAGAAAATAAATGTGGAGCATTTGATTCATGGGGATGATGCAGATAGAGATGGGGATGGAAATGAAATGGGAGTGGTGCAGGGTGAAGACAGTGGGTCGGGAGGAAAAGAGAAGGATGGGTGAGAAAATGCGAGTGGGGATGGAAATGATGATGATTATCTACGGTGGTGATTTGTTATAGTACTCTTCTAAAGATGATTCCGCCGATGGTGCATTCAATCCACTATGTCAAGGCTCCTTAAGTCGATAAGCTAGCTATACGCAGTATAAAATGGATTTCCAGTCTTTCCAGACTCTTCATGAGATTTGGAAAAGTTGGGAATAATAGTGCTCAACGCTTAATCTGATAGGTATTCCACGATTCTGATAGACTTATCACGCTTCAGCACCACTTCAATCTGGTTCTTTGATCTCTGACTGTCATAGTTATTGTCGGATTTTCAACCCTCACTCACAGGGAAAATAATTGAGTAAGTTACTGTAAGATCCTGTTTTTCTCTTTCTACATGGTGAATTCTTACTGGAGTATGCAGTTCTGAGTTCAAATTATCTGGTCAGCTACTCGTATTGTGCGGATTGTAGGGAATAGGTCTATTAATTATCACATACCGGTATCAGGATTTCCACAAGAGTAAACAGTGGGGAGTGTAGCTGATGAAATGTTGTAAGATCTTATTTATCGTATTATTGATCCTTCCATTTTGGCGAATGATGATGATGATGATGATGATGATGATGATGATGATGATGATGATGGCGATGATACTTGGAAGTGGAATAATAATATTAATAATGATGATGATGATAGTAATGATAGGTGGTGATGATGAAGATATTGATTCTGAAAATGGTCATGGCAAAAATGATAGTGCCAGTGGTGAAAATAGTGATGGTGATTTCTTTAAACTTTGTAGCGATAGCGAGGGATAGAGGTAGGGGTAGGGATAGAAGTGGAATAACAAGGTATACTAGTATCTGTATTAGAGGTACTAACATGTCGTAGTCGTTTTTAATAAGATTCAGTTTAACGTGGTTTATCAGTGGGTCGGCCATATCAGTGGGTCGGCCATTTTTACCTCGATTTATTATTCTACACTTAATACGCGTTTTCTTAATAATTAATTATGGAAATTCATTCTAAAGAAGCACGAATAATCTTAGCTATTAAGGCTATTGAATCAAATCCAAAATTAACAATTCGGAAGACAGCTCAGCTCTATAGTGTGCCTCGATCTACATTGGGTGATAGAATTCGAGGTAAACCTAATATGGCTGAAAATCGACCAAAAAGCTATAATTTGACTGAATTGGAAGAGGAGGTTCTTATTCAATATATACTCGATCTGGATGAGAGAGGATTTGGACCTAAATTAAGTGGTATGGAAGATATGGCGAATTATATACTCGAATCGCGGGGTGCGAAGAAGGTTGGAAAACTCTGGGCTCATCGCTTTGTAAAACGACGTTCAGAACTAAAGACGCGTTTTAATCGCGTTTATGACTTTCAAAGAGCTCTCTGCGAAGATCCAGCGCTTATTGAAGGGTGGTTCCGATTGGTATCGAATATGCAGGCAAAATATAGTATTCAGGACTGCGACTTCTACAACTTCGACAAAACCGGTTTTATGATAGGTGTAATATACCCCGGAATAGTTGTAACTAGTACTGAACGATATAGCAGAAGCAAAGCAATACAGCCAGGCAATCCAGAGTGGGCTATAGCGATTATATGTGGTAATAGAGAGGGTTGGACTATACCACCATTTTTAGTGGTGCAAGGACAATATCACCTCTCTAATTGATATACGGAAAGCGATTTTCCTGCAGATTGGGTTATTAAACCTATTTCTAATGGATAAACAAATAATGAGATAGGTTTAGATTGGATAAAGCACTTCGACAAGTATACTATTCATTGAAGAAAGGGCAAATATCGAATACTAGTATTGGATAAACACGAAAATCACGAATCAATACCTTTTCAGTCATATTGCAAATCAAATGATATTATATGCATAAAGTTACCACCGCATTCAAGTCATCTAACCCAACCACTTGACGTTGGATGTTTTAGTGTATTAAAACGAGCATATGGTTCACAAATTGAAGGATTTATCAAGGCTCATATCAATCATATCTCTAAGGTTGAATTCTTTGTAGCTTTCAAAGCTGCATATCAACAATCGATTACAGTTCAGAATATGAAAGCTGGCTTTCAAGGAACAGGACTAATCCCATTCGACCCTCAAGCTGTGCTCTCGAAATTGGATATTCGAATTCGTACGCCTACCCCTTTACCCATTCCCTTGGAATCTGCCGATTCTTGGGTCTCTCAAACACCTCATAATCCAACTGAAGCTTTTTCACAATCGACTTTAGTAAGATCTCGAATTGCTCGACATCAATCAAGCTCTCCTACACCTATATTCGAGATTGTAGCTGCTTTGGCTAAGGGTACAGAACGACTAGCTCATGAAGTTATACTTTTAAATACAGAGAATCGTATACTTCGAAAAGCAAATGAGGCATTAAGCAAACATCGACGCACTAAAAAAGTTCAACTACGGAATAGAGGAGTACTTACTGGACAGGAAACTGAGGATATATTATCACAACAAGAGGTAGAGGTTCAGATTCGACGCAACGAGCATCAAAATGGGAGAAATTCTAATGGGGAATCTTCTACTAGTCGATACTGTAGCAAATATGGAAAGACCGGTCATAATTCAAGAACTTGTCAGAATGATGTAATAGATCCTAGTTTATTAGATTCTTAACAGTTTTAATCGATTCATTAAATTGTTTTTGAATAATATAGCTTTGAAGTAATAAATCGAGGTAAAAGTGGCCGACCCACTGATATGGCCGACCCACTGATAAACCACGTTATAGAAAAAGCAAAAAAGAGTACATCTTCGTTTTTATATAAAATGACCCGATTTACCAATGGGATGTCCCATTGACTAATCGCTCGTATTGACTAATGGGCAGACCATCATGATAGAGTCGAATTGAGACGAGATGAAATCAAGACCTCTTATCTGAAGACCAATATGCTCATCTTATGTACGAGTTCTGGAAGGAAGACATGAAAAAAAAGAAGCACAGTGATAGACAATTGTCATTACCAGTTAACAAACATGTTCAGAAAAGCCATAGAAATGATGATAGAGAATAAATGTGATGACGCAATACCAAGGAGCGTACTCTTAGCAGTTCTAGAAGCTGACCGCCAAACCCATGTGAGGTGCTTTCGCTCGGTGGAAAATTAAAAGGTGAAACAGGTTCCACAGTTGAGGGATATCGCGAACCCATACCGTCATCATCAGGAATCGAGTGAGTTGTTATGGAGAAATTCAGACTTTGTATGCTAACTGAGCATATAACAACATGACAAACATAGCAGTCCTAGACTACTGTACTAAAACAGAAAACTCAAACCATATGCTCAAATCCAGCAGCTATATTGACCAAAGATATTTGCATGTCCTGTCCATCAATAGCCCATGCCCTTGAGAAAACTTGTTATATAACTGAGTTGACCTTGCGCAGAGTAGTGTAAGAAAGGAGCATGGCCCGTCATATCCGGTATCATCGTAGCAAAATTTGCCGCATTGGGAAAGTTCGCAACAGCCCGAGCCGGTATACTTCCACTGCCCACTCCACAATCTGAGCCCAATGGACTGTAACAACAAATCGCATCTTGCTTCCCCGTAACCACAAGTATATTTCCCGTGAAAGCTGGAGCTGGTCCTACACCATACAACAAAGTTGCGATTTCTCCCAGTGAAACTGTACCCTCGTGGTGGAAATCGAATGTCACAATAGCTGGATCAAAGCCTCCGAGTCTTCTGTAGAGCGCGGTTTGACGACCGGAACGAGATGCTGCAGCGAGGTAAAAAGGTTGGGATTCGAGGGAAGAGAAGCGAGGCGAGACGAGGAAGGCTGGTGCTGGGATCATTAGACTTAGGGAGACGGCGCCGAGTGCGAAATCAATCGAGTAGCTTGTTAGGACGAAAGTATCCACGTCTTTAGGATGAACAGTCGCGACGGCGTTTCCGCAAATGGAGCCGTACGAATGCCCTGTTCATATTTAGGACAATTGAAATGACTTATCAGGAATACTTACCAACGTATATAACTTTATCAAACGTTCGACCGGCTAGATATGGATGTGGTATCTTTCCTGACCGTAACATAACAATGATGTTGTGGATGATCTCAACTTGAAGCGTCATTTGCACAACGAATACCGGATCAGGATGAGTCGAATTTCCACTTCCTAGATTATCAACGGACAATGTCGAATATCCTTGCTTGCTCATATAAGCAATATATGAGTATTGTTCTCCGTTGTATCCATTGGGATAATCCAGACCGCTCCAATAGTTTTTCGTCATTGTGATTGCATGTTGAAGATACTGAATTGTGTTTTGTCGGCTAGGGATATGCACTTCGGGATCACAGTACCGTAAGCTCATAGAATAAGCTCCTGCTCCTAGACCAAGTGCGGAACCAACTGTTCCTAGTACAATGCCTAATTCTGCAGAGACATTGGATATGGTGGATTCAACCAGAACGTTCAAGGCAGCAGATCCTGTGTTGGAGAGGTCAGATTTGTGTTGAGAGGTGGTTGCAGGTACTGAAATGACAAAATCGGTGCAAGTTGGTGCTCCATAGGTTTGTGTGGGGGCTAAAACCAAGATACAAACGAAAAGGTAACTTGTAACCTTGGTTAACGTGAATTTAGACCAGGAACCTCGCAACATAGTTCAAGCAAGCACTTTCAGGGAATACTGGTACTTCGAAAAGCATACGGGCGAGATTCTTGATATCTATATCATTTGAAAGCGACATGTTAGAGGCAATCTTTGGTCACACTGACCGTCAGTTTCTGGAATCCATGACACTTTCAATGGTCGCCGACGTTCAGCGCCTCAAAGTCATGACGAGGTGTATTAGGCAGCGGGCGGGACTATCTTCATGGAATACCTTTCCATGGTTTGACATGCAATACATAGGACAATTCCAATGATCAAATTCCGTAACTAATTCACCGTTAATTGCCATTCTTTAACAAGAATCTGATCAATATCATACAAGAAGATTTATGATTGTCATACTGGTGACGATACAGAACGGACGTAGTATCTCGATTGAGTGATCATTAATCAACTTCCTTTTGCGCATGCAAGCATAACTTCAATTTCTTAAAGAAAACTGAAATGGGCGTTGTGTTTCGTAGATCGGCCTGGAACTTAGGAGGATCATGCAAAGCCTACGGATCACAGGCTGATAGTTTTCCGGTCGGGTTTCAAGATGCTCCGGTATGAACTTCTACTAGAAAATGCGAGCGTGCCAAGCCAAATTTGGAGCCAAGTGAGAGGTATAGAGAGGTTCTCTCGACGGGATGGCCCCTGCCGCAAGTTTCCGGTTAAATCAATGGTTTCGTGTAGGAACAACATTGAACTTGCCAGATATCATAGAAGCATGTGCATTGCTACAAAGCACCCACACAGCGAACTGCCAATATTTGGAGATCGGCGTTGATAAAAAAGAGAGTGATGAAGCCACGACTGGTTAACAACTAGCTCTAGGCGTACACATCCATCGACGGGTTACAGGCGATGGTTCACGAAGTCGTTTCTGCGTGACCTCATGTAAGACATCTCACTTCGAGTGGTGTAGCTGATCAACCATTATCAGTCAAAGTGCAGAGACAAAGTTGGGACGTAGAATGGACTTTCTCTTGAGTTAACACAAGATTGGTATCAGTCGAAGATTCAAACCCCAACCACGAAGTCGAAGAGGTGTCCGGATACTTGAGCATGACATGCAACATCACGATCGTGGTGTGGAACTCCCGTGTTAGTGTATAATAACAATTCAATAATGCTTAAAGAAGCTATAATTATCTATATTAGAGTCCAAAAGGAAAACCCCGGACCTCTTAACCAGTAGCCAAAACCCAACCAAATCCAAGTACCGTGTGTGTATGAAGCAATGCGTATCATATGCAAGTTCAACCGTGAACTCCTCCCATCCTGATATAAGAAAAAGACAAGTTCGTGACAAAAGGAAAAGTACATAATATATAATCTAAATGGTGTTGGTACAGTATGAGATCTGTAATTCAAATTCTTCCGAAGTATTGATATTGTTGTTTATATTTCGAGAGCTTGCTTCATGAGCTTGGCCAAATCACGTGTCTGTGATAGTTAGTCAGCAAAATACCCCACATTTGATGAACTTCATTTGAAACTTACAATTGGATCTCTCATCATGGTAAAGTGATTTCCAGACGTGCTCATACACTTGACATTTCCCTCACCCACTAACTTTTCCCATCCATTATGCCCCAGATCTTTGCGATCATGAGTCAACCAGTCCATGGAGTTTGGCATCCTCACTTTGGGGTCCCAGTCTGGCTTCAGGTCGTTTGCACTGTGAACAATACCGTCGCGAGCCCATATGGTGGTGGTTTGTGGCATGTTTGCGGTGTTAAGGGATGTTAGAGAGCCCAAATGATCAGAATATGTAGTAAGTTCGCGGACAGTGGAGAAGAAATGTGGAAGAAGCCATTTTGGTAATGATTCGAGCCCACCATCGCCGAGAAGACCAATCTTGGCGCAGTATTGGTGGAAGGAAGCTGGTAAAGCTTCAAGACCAACGGGGAAAGGTGAATCAATTAACAAAAGTTTTTCGACATTCTCGCCCTTGGCAATGAGTTGACGCGTACACTCGTAGGCAAGTACGCCTCCGGCAGACCAACCTCCAAGAAGATAAGGCCCATGTGGTTGACGGCGTTGGATTTCGGCCAGGTAAATTTGAGTGACAGCCGGGACACCAATGTTGAATTGAGTAGGGTCTTTCATGAATGGGGAATTGAGGCCAAACACGGCTAAGTTGGAGTCAATCCGAGGAATTGGAGTATACGATGAAGCGACACCGGAACCATCGGGAAGGAGGAAGAGTGTGTGGGTTGCGGTCTTTGGGTTACCTTGTAGCAGGATAGACTTCGATGGCGGGTATTGAGATAGATTGATGGGTTTGGCAACTTGAGTTGGAGTAGCTGGTTGGACTGACGCAGAAGACACTTGGGTAATCTTTATCGTCTTCTTAACCTCGATACTCTTTGGCTTGATTGCCCTTAGGCCCAAGGTTGTCTCAATTTTTTCTACGCTGGTATTCTCGACCAACAACTCGGAGTTCAAAGTCAGACCTGTTTTTTCTCGAAGTGCGCCTAGAATGCTCAAGCTCATAAGAGAGTCCATACCCATGGTAGCAAGATCCGTGTTATCAGTGATCTCCTCAAGCTCGACACCCATCTCTTCAGCAATCGTAGATCTTATAATCTGGACGATCATTGCGTTATCGCTATCACCATCGGCAGACGTAATTTCGGAATCGGTATCGTCGAGATCAAAAGCATCATCTCCAATGTCACTTGAGTGACTAGACATCATTTCAGGAGTGGACAGTCCTGAGCTCTGAGCACTAGTCTCGTCCTCAAATCTAGTCATGTAAGCTTTGAGACGGTCTACCGTTGGTTCATGCTCGAAAACACTGCTCTGGAAGTCAATCTCAAGATCCTCACGGAATCGTCCAGAAATACTCAAGCCAAGAAGTGAGTCGACACCCATATCGGAGAAGCGCATGGGACCTGCCAATTCAGCGACATCGCATCCGATCTCTTCAGCCATGATGGTCAATGCTTTCGCAAAAATACCTCTTGAAGTCGGTTTACTGATGGTTCTGAGTTCAACCTTGGAGGCAGTTTTCGATGCTTTAGGTGCAGCGATCCTAGCTGGGACAGTGACTGCTTTGGCGCCACCACGAGCTGGGATGGCTTTTGGTGCGAGCAAAGTCTGAAGCAGGGTGCGGGGTACGCGTTGGAACTTGATACCACCGACAACCGCGATAATCTCGTCTCCTTCGAATACATATACATCACCAGCAACCATCTCACCTCCACCTGGTACCTTCTGCATCTTGATATAAGATCTATACTCTTTGTCGGCAGACATGGTTTTGGCGAATCTCATCGACTCCCATCCGTGGGAAATATAGACGTACTTAGTGGAGTCGACAGCATCATTTGCATTCATGATGAATCCTGAGATGTGGCAAACACTGTCGATCCAGTATGGGCTCATGAAGAACGTTCCATCCTTGTCCGAAGTCTGGAATTGTACCTTGGCAGTTGCCTCGCATTGTTCACTCCACAGATACACTTCATCCATTCCACGATATTTTTGATCATAGTCGACAAGTGCGCCAAATAGCTTGTAAGCCATTCCTCTTTGTATCTTGTGAACTTCCTTATGGTTCATCAGATTCTCAATTCGTCCTTGGACAAGGAACTTGCGACGGTCCCAGTCCTTCAACCATGAGGATGAATCCTCAAGAGTCACTTCGCACTTGGTTTGTTCAACTGGCTCTCCATCTGTTCCAAATGTACGGAAGTTGACAGTTCCACGTCGATGAGCAAGGTCAAGCTTAGTCTCAATCTGAAGAAGATGGGTTTTGGCATTGCTGTCGAGGACCAAAGGCTTATGTGTTTCCATACTTCCAACATTGAAACCCACAGATTTCGCATCCGGTTGGGCAAGCTTGAGTGCGTAATCGCAGATAGTCAACGCCATATCACCATAGATGGATGACGGGAAGAGTGGTTGACCGTGAACCAAGTGCCCGGAAATGGCTGCTCGTAAGTTGGGTTCCATAAGGTCAGACTCCGCGACAACATTGACGTTGTCACCATCGACATCTTCAAAAAGAATTTTTTGAACAGTGGTTGTCGAGAAGCTTGGTTTTGCAACTGTGGGAGCGACCAATTGCTTGTCGCCTTTAGTAAGACACCAATTTTCGCGGTAATCAATCCAATAGACCTTCTCATCGAAAGAGTAAGAAGGTAAATCAAGAACCTCATGAGCGTTCTTGAAGTCAATGTGGTACTCGTTCCAATTGAAGTCTAGACCAGCATTGAATAGAGTTGCCAAACTAGTAGCTGTGGTGGTCCACGCATCGGCATTTCTGCTCAGTGATGGCACAGTGATGGCACTTGTGCCGATGATCGCCTTTATCATGTTGGAGCAAACTGGATGTGGGCCAATTTCGACAAATAAGGTCTTCTCATCAACGATTCCACTTGTCAAAGCAGAAGTGACACCTCCTAGGAAGTCAACGCTCTCTCTACAGTGCCTAGCAAGGTACTCTGGATTGAACACACCGGATTCCTCTACGATGGTCCCAAGAAGTGTGGACATGACTGGGATTTTTGGTTGATGGAAAACAGCTGACTTCGCAGACTGAATGAAATCCTCTAGAATTGGTTCGACTTGAGCGGAGTGGAATGCATAAGGTATGTTCAGCATAGTGTTCTTGAAGCCCTGTGCGGTTAAAGTCTCCTTGAGGCGGCTCATGGTTTCAACGGTACCCGAGAAAACTGTTTCCTCCGGACCATTGATGCAAGCCTTTTCCACTTCGATGTCCGACAAGAATGGTTCAACTGCAGCAAAGCCTGCCCGAACTGCCAGCATACCATGACTGCCAGCAGTACATCTCGAAACTAACAATCGCGCACGATTGCCGACCAAAGAGATAGCATCATGTGTGGAAACAACACCAGCAACCTGTAGGGCAGCATACTCTCCCAGAGAGTGACCAACGACGACGGATGGCTCGATGCCCCATGATCGCCAAAGTGCTGCAACAGATATTTCTACACAAAGAATGGCAAGTTGAGTCATGACCGGCTCAGCAATGCTCAGGTCAGTAATGCTCCCATCAATTAGTCCCATGAAAGATGGGAAGCCTTGGGTCTGTGCCATTTGATCAAAGTCCTCAATATCACGGCGGAATTGTTCCACATCTCGGAAGAGGGCCTTACCCATTCCGAGGTAATGTGATCCCTGACCAGTGAAAGCAAAAGCGACTCTGGGCTTCGCGTTCGATACCGGAGTGTGGGGGCCTTCAGTGTAAGCGCTCAAAGCATTTTGGACACTTTGCAAGTCCTTGGCGTCAACTGCAATACGATACTGGTAGTGGTAACGACGAGCAGATGTGGTGTATGCAAGACTTGGCAAACATGAGCTGGGTTGATCCCTCGACCATTTCAAGATTTTCTGAATATTATTCCTGAAAGATGCAAGAGACTTGGCCGTCACAATGACAACATGAGATGTTCGAGGGTCAGTACCTTCCAATTGCCGGATTGGTGCATCTTCGAGCAAGGTGGCGGTGTTACCACCGGCGGCACTAAAGTTGTTCATGAAGACATATCGCTTGCCATTCGTAGGTCTAGGAAATGGTGTTGGTTTAAAAGCCATGTTAAGATTTCTATCTTTCAGATCTTTGGGAAAGGCCTGATTGATTTTCGTCTTGATGCCGCAATGTGGTGGGATCATACTTTTCTTGAGCATCATCATAATTTTTACCAAAGCGGTCGCACCTGAAACAGCTTCTCCGTGGCCAACATTAGATTTGACGGAACCAACAAATAGTGGCTGATCAATGCGACGGCGCGATTTACTTACTGGTGCAAAAATGGACGAAACACTGTCCATCTCGACACCGTCACCAGCTTGAGTACCTGTGCCGTGCATCTCGACGTACTTGACATCTCGAATGTCTACGCGAGCTTCGTCCATTACCTTCTGGAACAAGAATTTTTGTGCACCAGCGTGGGGATGGGTGATTGAGATAGCTTCGGCACTGTGATTTGTTGCAATACCGGCAATGACTCCAAGAATTGGATCCTTATCAGCCACTGCGTCGTCAAGTCGCTTTAAGATGAGAGTAACGACACCATCACCACGGCAGTAGCCATCAGCACTGTCGTCGTAGGTCTTGCAGGATCCAGTCTTGGATAAGAATTGACCCTTCGATAAACCAGAGAAAATATCTGGGTTGGTCATGACGTTCATACCGCCAGCGAATACGGTGTCGCAGTCACCAGCTCGTAACGAAGTGACTGCCAAATTGATGGCGGCCATACTGCTGGAGCAGGCAGTGTCTACGTTGTATGATGGGCCACTGAAGCCGAAGTGATAATTAATTCTTCCAGGTCCGAAAGCTCGCACACCACCGGTGATGAAATATGTATCGATGTCTTGAGCAGCATTGATTTCACGCCAATCGTCGGAAGTCTGACCGTAGAAGGTACCGACTCTGTGTGCTTGTGTGGAAGGAGTTCGATCTCTTACGAATCCTGACATTTCCATAGCCTCATATGCAGTGGAGATGGCCAAACGCTGCATTGGATCGGTTTGCATAGCCTCCCGTGGAGACATATTAAAGAATCGAGGGTCGAATTTTCCAGGTTCATCTATGAAACAACCGAATGGAGAGTGAGACTTATTTTTCCCTTTTCCGGAAGGGTCAACGTGTGCTTTAACATCAAATCGATCGGCGGGTATTTCTCGGTGGACGTCGAGGCCTTGCTCAAGGAGAGCCCAGAATGCTTCATGATCAGACGAGTTGGGAAATCGGCCTGACATTCCCACGATAGCAATCTTAGCCTCGGCCATTCTACCGGTCATTCCTCTTGGAATGCTGTTTTCCATAGAGTAAGATATGTGATCCTCCATTGACAACTTCAAACCACCACTGTTCTTTAACGCCGAGACGAGACTATTTCCGAGAGCGGTTGGTCCCATGGCAAGAACCCTAACTTCTGTTTGTTTAGATTCTCGAACATCTGCAACAGCAAGTTTGACCAAGCGGTCCCATTTGACCTGCTCTGCCAAAATTTCCATGATGGAATTTCTAAATAATTCGACTGTTGATATGGATTCCTTGTGTGCAGCAGTACCAACAAGGGGAAGGATTGACGAATAGTTGCTTAGACTTTCGACGATTTCTGGTGTCAAGATTCTCTCAATGTCTTGTGGGTTATAAAGGTGGGAGGCATGGTATGGTCCACGTATCCCGATCTCGCGTCGTTGAAGATATTGGAATGCCTCGCATGTTTCGAACAACTGAGCGCGGATAGTAGGTGCTCCGCTGATTGTAATAGACGTGGTACCAATGGCACTAATGTATAATCTTGTTGATTGAACAAGTCCCTGCGATTTGTCAGTTATTCGAACGACGACAGTTGTGTTTATCAACTCACTCTTGTCTGATTGAACTCCGCCAAAGCACGCTCTGCTGCTTCTGGACTTATCCCCAGCACGATTGTTGACCAAGTCTTCTGTCTATCGCTCGAACTTTCTAATTGGCTTCCAACTGCTGCAACTCTTGATCCCAGCCTGAAGGCAATGCGTACTGCTTGCACAGCTAGGGGAACGAGAGATGTAAGTGATTTACATGATGCAACTGCAGATGCGGCAAGCAATCCGGTGCATACTGCAAGTACTTCTGTATTAGAGGGTTCTAAATATTCAAGAGGGTGTTCCTCGAAAAATCTAGAGTTTGATAATTGGTTAGTCCGAGTGGTCTTCATCGATTCTTTACATAATTTCTGTACATACCCAATGAAATGTGTTAATTGCGCCAAGCAAGTGATAGCACTTTCAACGGCCAAATCTGGGTGATCGGCTTCGAAATATCGCTCAGTGAACTCAGAAACGCTTGAGAAAACAACAACATGTCGTCGGGTAGTTGATGGAAGAGATGCAAGTTCGTCTTGCAGAGCGGCATGGACTTGCTCCAGAAAGTTGCTTAGGATAGGACAGTTCTTTCGACGAAGTGATTTTTTGAGGAAAGACTGGCAGTCTACTGTTTGATCACCGAATAATATAACATCCATATTGAAAGATTATGCGGCCCGCGCTATTACTATGGAGTGCTCGGAGTCGTAGAAAGATGGGAAGAATATTAATATTTAGGAAGGAGGAACGAGTGTTTGTATGTATATTTGGAAGAACAGAAGTGAGATATGTAAGTTCAGACGTCCTTGATGCTATACATATACACAGGTTGAGATCTTCACATGCTCACAGATACTTCCCAGAAGCAAAAGCATTCTGACCTATATCTTGTTTCAACTGCATCTACCTTATCCACATGGTATAGGTTAACCATGTAGCACCCACCTTGTCGACCCCTTTGGGGATAATCGTAAGATTCTGGAAGCTCAAGCTTTACAGATGCGCTAATCCAAACTCTTTGTAGTAAAACGGGTCTATCAGTAAATGCATCCTAATCTGACCTGTTGAGCAATGATCAGGTAGATATGAGACTATTGGAAATACGGCATGAAACACCGGAATGTGTAGTCGCAGCACTTTACTGTTTGCTAGAAGAAATGGAAAGAGGCTGAAGTTTGCACTGACAACTCTTACTAAGTGCTAAGTGTGCTTGCTCATTCGTTAAAACGTTTGAACATTATAAAGAAGTGGAGATCGCTTTGGTCTGATACGGTTGATATCGAATCAAAGAGCCGCAAGATACTTGTTTTCGATTGTGCTCGATTGAGCAAGAATTATGTTATGGTACTCCGTGTTCACAACATTATATGTTTGAAAGGCAGTGGCAGTGGGAGTGGGAGTGGCAGAGTTGATGCGATGCGGCTGATAATTAGGTTTCTAGGTACTGATGGGTCCCTTGTTCCCCAAGTCGTGAATCTCATCATTTGTTGAAATTTCTCATGCACGGATCGCCAACATTGAAGTAACGGACAATTTAAACGCTATGACGCCACACGGTTCAACTACTCCAAACTTTTGTCTCCTCTTTAAGTGGTGTTGGTCCGCTCATGTTTATTCTTTTATTATCCCGTGGGGCCGAGCAGATCAACAGGGTTTGTGGAAAACGAGCTTTGAAGACCACAACCCTGGACTGGCCTCGAACACGCTTGCTGGTTTGCGAACAGAAACGAAATATCTTCAATACGTTCTGTGATAGGATGATAGTTCCTCTTACCTTAAGGTTGATGAAATTTTCTGACTTCACTTCAGAAAATAAGCCACCAAAATGTGAGGGCATCGAGTACTACAAGCAATCTTTAGATGCGTAGGTACTTCTCCTTTAACTTTCGTCTACGTTATATCTACACCAAATCGAGTAAGACAATTAACATCGGATTCAAAATACTGAGCATTATCATGAGACAATGTTTTGACAATGGATGTCGTATTTTTGAAGAGCCATTTTTAAGTCTGCTCAGGTAGAGCATCCCTTTCATTTTAAAGATACACATAAATTTATACGACGTGCCATTTAACCGTTGGTGCTGAATCGAGATTCAAAGTTTCCGAAGACAGAATGGGTACATTATTACTCCACACTTGTGGGAAGTGGGAGTGGGTACTTGGAAGTGGGTAGTAAAGAATGTGGGATGTTACGGGAATTTTAAAATTCCGGTCCGAAATATATTCATGGATCCAGGTTCACGTTAATAATACCATAGGCTTTTTACTCCACAGGTCGCCCCAGAGTATCATGATGAAGTTGTGTGTTACTAACTCTTGCGAGTCGTATCAGATGGTTCTCTTGATTGATTTTCGAAACCAAATTTTAGATATATCATTCCTTGACCATGTTTCCACTCTCATCGAACCATGGAACAGATAAATGACCGGTATTCAATAAGCAACAATGATCCATCAATATATGGAACGCGATCTGACGAGTGGCAATTCACAAAGCTGCACTGGATTAAGTCCAGCAAATATCATGTTGTCACCGCACCCTCCAGGTGCCTCGGCCATGGTCGATGAATTATCGATCCATTCAGAGACATCTGCTGATTCCTACAGAGCTAAACAGATGGTTAGGCTTCAGTGTCTCTGTTTACTTGTCTCTAAATAATGGATATCCTGTCATAAATCATTCCGAAGGTTAATCCGAAAGATTCACATATTGGCTCAAACCCTGGAAACGCCGATCTTAAGTCCTATCACCTATTTCCAAGTGGAGAATTCGTATATGCAGGGACAAGGCTGTAAGCGAAAGACTCTAAACCTTAAGGACGACTAGACTAGTGGTCCTACCGCGCCTATCTCGGTTAGCGGTTGAGCTAAGGGAGGACCCTACCGCGGCGGACTTTTTATGATTTCCATTGCATGTAATCAGAATTCCATGCGCGTATTAATAAATAGCTGATGATAGGATATTTCCGGACCGGAGGCCCCGGGATATCAGATAACGACGAAGAAAGCAGATAAATGATAATGGGGTTGTGATCCGTTCGATGGCGTTCGAGTGCATTCTCGATTCGATTGGCTGACTTGCCATTCTTTTATTTCTACGCTGATATACGTACAGCTGCTTCTACCGCCCTTCCATCCCGGCCTTCCGTTTTTTCTTGTCTGAATACGAGTTCTATATGGAATCTTGAGCACAACGTGAAAATCAGGGCTGACTCGTTTATTTGGATGAGGCAGCATATGGAAATCACAGTCCTCATCGAGGTGAGCAATTATTACTTTTCAGCCTGGGATCATGTTTAGATTCGGGAATGCATACGAGGGTATCCGGGTCAGCCAAGTTCGTCACGACTGCCGCGCCGGTAGGATACCTTTCTAAGAAAAATGTAAAACTGGCATTGGGAGATTTCGAGTCAAGTCTAAAGATATTCTTACAAATTTGGAGTTGGAACCACGAGGAAAGATCAGGACAAGTGCCGAATCTACACACGAACGGTTGCACAATTTCTATCATTTGCGAACGTTTTGACTATTGTTTTTGAGAGAGAATTATGAACATTTACCATCCATGCGCAGGATTTATGCACAATATGAATACATATATCTACGAGTATAGCCTCATCAGTCTTTAGAATGCCCTCCTAACAACTACGACATGGATATTGAGGTCAAGCGTTCTTGGTGCTTAATTTCCTCAATGTTCTGGCATCTCACTATCAACAATGCCAGCCGCCGACTTCACGGAAAGCCACTTGCGGTATGGAATCTGTATAAAAGAAGTTCATTCCTTCATTGCGGATAGGCAGAAGGCTTAAAAAGTATGGATCATTGAGAAATCGGTGCTGTGACGATAGAGTATACTCAAACGATTGAGTAAATTGCTATGGTACGTTGGTAAAGAAATTTGATATTTGGATATCCTGCAAGGGCGATGGTTTGTGGAATCAACGTACATACACAAGTGCGCATGTACAATGACGAGATTCTCGATGGTCAAAAACGGGAGGGGCTGTTCTGTGAGCAGTACGTACGAGCCTTTGAAGAATAATGGTCTTCAAAAACAAGATGAATATACACGTGGTTGCAATATCCTCACGGGAGAAAGCTTTGCTGACAATATTCTGCTTAGTGCATGGATGAAAATTGAGTCTACGAGTAAGTGGAAGTTCATTCTGATGCTGATCTAGCAAACATCTTCCAGATGATTTTCTTTGAGAGACCAACCGCTGTCACTCCGCTACATCTAAAACTGAATTATCAAAAGAACACAATACCAAGACATTTGTACGGACTTTGAAGATATCCGGATCGAAGTGTTGCATACTTTGTATTATAGGTAATCGGATGATGTGTGCACAGTCTCTAGTCACGGACATCTGAAGCAAGATGTTCCATTTCGTTGCGATTTGAGAACTTCTGGCCTCGGAAAGAAATTTTGTATTTGTATTCCAGCGATATCCTTGCTTAATATTTCGTGTGTATTTTGGTATACTCTTATGCGGACATTGCGGGAAAATATGGGTTCTATCTTGGGAAGCATCGAAAGTGTAGTCCAAGGCAGCCATTCTCGTCCAGGCATATACAAAGTTCTGAAACGAGAGAACGACCCTCAGACTGCAATTGAAACGGCCAGATTTTTTCTCTTTTGTTGCTCGACCACCCTCGCACTTGAAACAAGGGACTCTTTGGTTCATACGAGATCATTTCAGATGGGTCTGGTGCGGTTCCTATTGTTTTATTGCTTTGTTTTTTATGAGGTTGAGTTCAACTGTGGATGGCAATTAGGGTTTGCAAGAAAAATATATTTGATTTAGAGTGTAAACTTTACATACTGTCAATTTAAACATTAACGTCTAGAAACATTTCACTGTAACGGAAATATGAGTCAATAATGTAACAACTGTCGATTCTAGGAATCATTCATTTATTCTCAGTATTCTACCTGTTGCAAAGAAGGACTTCAATTCATTTTTTCACGCGGCTGTGATTTTAATAATTCCCTCTGCGAAAAGAATGGCAAGTTAGGAGTGGTATTAGCAAAGTTGAATCCTCCATCTTCGAGTGAAGTCGTCAAACAATCAAAAGATTTGCGTTCAATTGCAAGGATCACCTTCGTGAAGTCACACAAACTGGAGTTACAAAATTTATCCTGGTGGCAGATCTGGAGTAGATTTGAACAATGGCGGGGTGCCACCCAGTGGCATTGTGGCGCTCTCAGCTTATTATTGACAACCGTCAATTCATGAGCCCTTGTACTGTGGCACCCTTGTCTGATAGAGTCATGCTTGTTAACTGATACCTATGATATCAAACCTGTCAATGTAAGAAGTTGCGAATGATCTTAGTCATCTTTTCCAAAACGTGGAGTTGCGAGGGTTCCAAGTTGCAGGGCTACTTTTCGCAAGAGATTGATTGGTGTGTTTCCTTTGCAAGTGTTTCGAGGACATGATTTATGTTGATGTTAGTTGCGTCTGATCATGTTGGTTCTATCGTTGTGATACTTGGGAATGCGAGTATCTCATAGTTTCCCTTACTCGGGATGAGGCGATGAATCTGTTCCGGACCCACCTTGTTCGAGGAGAGTGAGGAGGACTCCCGATGCGATGAAAGGCTGGAGTGTCTAGTGTCCATATTGATATCAGATAGCCAAGTCCATGTCCTAAATAGTTCACAGCTGCCAGAATCACAATCTCCGATTATCAAAGTTTTAATTTTATTTTACTGTTAGAGTGATCGCTAGGTGCATTCAATACCGCCAGCATGGGAAATAATCAGTCACAACAAACGACACCAGCGCCGGCGCTGATGAGTGCAATGGCTCAATCTTCAGTCGGAATTTTATCATCAGGTCGGATGGCGATGAGCACCGGAGCATCGCTCACCTCAACTTACTCTTCTTCGATGAGCCTTAATCACACTAGCACCCAGTCGAGTACCCTAGTTTCAGTCTCAACGGAGCAAATAATATCAACAACCACACAAGCTGCTGCTGCAGCGGCAGTTCAACCGCAAGGAACCATAACGATAGAAATAACCACGACACAATCCGCCCCCCCACAAGCACAGACACCTTCATCAACCATCCAATCCTCAGAATCTACCCAAGCTGCAGCTCCCTCCGCCTCGGATACTGGTACTGCCAAAGGAATGACAGGTACAGGTACACAAGCGGGAGTAGATTCTCCCTCTCAAGAAGAACCACTAGCTGCCTCTCCTGACCTCCAAGGAGCACAACTAAATCCCACTCCGCCACCCACTATTACTCAACCAAAGAAAGGCCCATTTTCGCCCGTCGCAGCGATCCTGGGAGGCATCCCTAATAAAAATGTGGATGTACCGATTACAGCCGTGTTTTTGGTTTTATTCGCTGTGGGGGCTGCATCTCATTTCATTAGACATGAGGTCAATAAGAAGAGGGGCCATAAATTTATTATTTCGGATATGATTTTTGATTTTTGCATGGTTAGGAATGTAAGTTGCAAATCTTGACTGCGGTTTCCTGATGGAGATGAAGTGAATTGATTGCTGACTTTGAGTAGATTACTTGTATTATGAGAATAGTATGGGCATTTCATCCCACGAACAATAGTATCGTTGTGGCAGCCTTGATCTTCGAAAATGCTGGGTAGGTCCTATTTCCAAATTCAAATTACACAGAGTCTCCATGCTAACAAAATCTCCAGTGTCGTCGTTCTCTTCGCCGTGAATATAATCTTCACGCAGCGAATCCTCCGCGCCATCCACCCCCATATTGGCTGGAACCCAATAGTCTCCAAAGTCTTCCTCGCCATCCTCATCTCCGTCCCCCTAATTATTTTCTGGAACATCATCTCTCTTACCACCAGTTTCTTCACCCTCAACCCTCGATCGCTGGAAATCACCAAGAACCTCCTTCTGTTTGGTTCCTGCTGGACACTCTTCCTCTCGTCATTCCCAGCTATATTCGTTACGCTCTCCACCTCTTTCCCCTCTTCTACCAGCGTTGAGAAATTCGGTCATGGCAGATTCAGAATGAAGTGCATAATTCTAATGCTCGCAACCGGACTTTTAGTCACCGGAGCAATCACGCGACTCCTAGGCGCCGTTATCGAAAAACCTATCTCTGCACCTAGCCATCTTTTCAGCAAAGCCGTTTTCTACACCACAGGATTCATGCTCGAGATCCTAGTCGTATACGGCTATCTCTTCCTGCGCGTAGATTTGAGATTCTGGGTACCCAATGGAGTGGGTAGTCCTGCTGCAGCGGGCGGCCCAGGATCATATACTGTAAAGACAGATGAAGATGAAGAGAAACTCTTCGGTGGCGACGACGATGCAAAGCTCCGCGCTACATCGAGTCTTTATGAAAAATTATATGGAGATGTAGTGATAGGAATTGATACCAATGCGCCGATATCCTCAGTAGCACAGGTATCGGCGGCGATCACGGGGTTAAATGTTAGTACGGGGGGAGAGGTCGTAGGAACGCAGGTGGAGAGTGGGGATGGGGAGGTCGTGTTGTATGCTTTTAGGGTGGAGAAGGAAGGGGGTGGGGATGGAATGCCGAGGGTTCCTCCTAGATCTTCGAAGTGGATGGAGAAATCGAGGAGTGGGGGGGCGGAACCTGACGAGTTTATGTGAGGGTAACTTGTCTCGGTGATTGGGTGTGGGTTTGGTGTGCATGCAAATTAGCGATGTGAAAAAGTAACGGCGGGACCGGTTTCAATGTATTTTTATAGGTTGTTTATACCAGCAACTTATGTTTTTAATTTAGAATTTGTCTTCCTACTCAGTAGAGAAAGAAAGTAACTGGTTCTTCAAGAGATAATCTTACTGTGATAAGAAGTCCTGATTTTTTGATATTGGAACAATCGTAAGATTACAAAAGATCAAAATGCCAGATGATACACCAGTATCTCAAAACAAAATCCTCATCCAATCCCTTACCCACCAAACTCCTGCACAGTCTTGAACAATAAAGACAACTCATATTCTCATACCAAGCTCCCTCCCTCCCATTCTCCACAGACCTTCGCAGCGAAAATTAGAATTCCCACATCATATCAACAGATTACCTACTCGAGTACATATCCCTCCCTCCTTTTAGCCTTAGCTGATATACCATATTCCACCTCACCTCACCTCATCTCATCTCATCTCATCTCAACCTAGGATTAATTCTCTCGCAACACTTGAAACCATATAAACCATATATAGACTTTAGTATCCACGCCACGATTCCTCGCTTTCTCTTCTATCCGGATTTTAGTAAGATATGATATGATACGATACGATACGATACGATGCGATACGATGCGATACGATGCGATAGCGGTTGTCATGGATTATGGATGATGAATGATGAATGATGAATCTATCGAATATCTATTTGAAGGATTGATTCAAGGTGGCTATGTAGATTGAACATAGAAGAGATATATATTCTTTCATGTTTATCAACTAACTTGATTCGCGTTTCTTCTTTATTTTCATATCATCGGGTGAGTGTATCTGTACTTACTTGTATAATCCTGATAAAACTAGATAAAATAAATGATATGCATAAATATACTCGAGTATATTTTGCCAAGTTCTTGAAATGAACTTGTGAATTGACTAATCTCGGTGTAGATCTGGATCCTAAAGTCTACTCATCTAGCCTTACAGTATCTCTAGAACGGAGACATGGTTATAGTAGTATTATCAACACTAGTTATATATCTGTATATCAACATGCTCTTATTCTTGTACCTCCTCTTTTCATAATCTTAATCTTAATATATCGTTAAATTCACACAACTAAAGCCAAATCAAACCAACCATCCACTACTCCTATGTATATCTACTCGTTTTCAAAGTTATTAGTAGTCTTATATTCGCGCCAATTATCTTCCCCTCCTTTACTCAGATACTAGTTGAGGTCTGACAAAAGGGGTATTCGGAGTTGGATCTTCTCAGATGCAGAATATCGTCTATGACAAAATTCTAGCCAAAAGACTCGCTTGATTTTCAAAGTGGGATGAATGGTTTTTCTGACGATTTGAAGAGCTAGTGCATCTTACAATGTGGAAATGAATAAGAAATGAAAAAGAATGGGGTGAAAGTGCTATATGGTTTCTTAGTGCGGTGACTAATTACCTTAGGGATATTGCTCCATGTAATGAGATAGTACTGAGTACAATGATATCTACATAAAAAGAAGAGAAAATAAAACCGGTATCTGCATACATAAAGACAAATTCTCCCCAATTGTGGCACAAAATTCTCTTATAAGTTCCAAAGTATTTTCCGTATCTCCGAACCAATACCTGAGTCTACAAACTCACTGTCGTCCCATCACGGTGAATGAGATCAACAAAGTCCAAAATCTCCCTCGCCACCACCTCCGGCGCTTCAACCGCATGCCAGTGACCCACCCCCGGAATAACATGAATAAACTTCTTCTCCGTCGCCGCACCAACACTATCAAGAATTTCTTCACAGCCGACATACGGAGCCGTTTTATCATCGCTGCCGGCGAGTATAATAAGGGGTACTTTAATCTTGGCGTATTCGGGTTTGTGAGCGGAAACTATAACGTGACTTAATGATAGGTAACCGGCGCTTGTTGTGCCGAGGATTAGGTTCCGAATGAATGCATGGTGGAGGGATGTTGCAATGGATCCTGTGGCGCTGAACGGGATGGAATCGGCTAGGGGTTCTACTCCTTCTGTTGAGGGATGGTTTGGTCAGTCTAATTTGCCGTGGAAATAAGAGAAATAGTGTAATGTGAATATCATCCAGACACCACAACTAACACAGCAAAACAAAACCGATTTATATTACCTTTCTCCACCGCCTCAATCCTCTTACCGAAGACTTCAGCCAGAGAAACCGAAGGAGTAATCGGACCCAGCAAAATCAATCCCTTAACACGCTGCGCATATCTAACCGCCAATTCACAAGCGATCATCCCACCCATCGAATGACCCACCACCCAAACCTTTTCCCTTTCCTTTTCCCTTTCCGTCACCATAACCGCTGTCCCCAAAAGTGCATCTAGAAGCGCAACCGCATCCTCAACTATCGATGCTACCGTTTGGGGCGAGCCGTCCATAGCTAGACTAGAGAGTCCGGATCCGGGTGTGTCGAAGGCGATGCATGTTGATTTGGTGCTGAGTTCCGGGATGATGGTGTGGTAGAAATTGGAGGAGGATCCTAGGCCGTGGATTAAGAGCGTGGTGTTGAGTTTGTCGAGATGGGAGGTTTGGGGTGTTATTGTGTAGAAGATGGATTTGTTGTTTAGGGTTGTGGAGGGCATGGTGGGAATGGGGGATTAGGGCTGGTTGATGTTGTGGATGTTTTGTTCACTCTGAAGCTGGAGCTGGAGCTGAAGCTTCGGCTATCTATATGTATATGTATATGTATATGATCTCACGACGGGGAAGGCTGGGCCCACAACACGTGTGATATCTCCCCGATGGTCTTAAACACGTGATCATATAGGCGTCCCTTCTACCTTTGATTTCTGAGCCCGAGCCCGAGGAATTCAAATTTGCTTAGCACTCAGATCTAGTGGGACAAAACATCTTTCCCATCGTAAACCTGCAGTATCTCATTTACGATCACGTGATGTCAATACTTTACATCGTGCGGGTGGCTTCAATCGATCCATTTATCTACATCCACAAATCCACCCCATCCACCCCATCCACCTCAGAACCAAAACAGCTCGTATCTCTAACCCTGCATCTATAATCAAAGCAAGCTGCGGATGTCCGTTGGGGAATTCGAAGAGATACCGGTACCTACCTATCCCCAGCCGTCCTAGTAATCTTCCTAGTAGTCCCTCCCTCCCCTTACTCATACTTTTCACAATCAAAAGAAGGAAATATCGGTATAGCAAGGAAAATAAGCAACACCAGTTATCTCATTCTGTTTGTATTTGCGTTTTGGTAGATGGAAGTAATAGGGGTATGGGTACGTTTGAAGGGCTGCCTGTCTGTCGGGTAACTAGCTGGTCGGGTCGGGTCGGATAGCGCGTCCGGGTTGTTATCCGCTTTTATCCGATAAGTAGGTCTCAGCCAAAGGAGGAGCGATGGAGTACGGTAATAGATCAATTTGCAATTTGATTGATGTTATGAGAATTTGTATTATATCCCATTTATTACGATACTAAAAAAAAATGATATAGAAAAATATTATAGTGTACAGGTAGGTAGGTATTGGTGCCAGATAATTTTAACATCCAAAGTTTATATGGGCCTCGCGATATGTTGTTGGTGGTGCACCACCGCCAACCAAATTAGCCATCTTAGCTCTCTTAAGATCTTCAACCATGACCCGATCTCTATAGATGAATGTTGAAGGATATCTCGTTTGTAACTATTATACAAATTAGTAATGCGTCAAGGAGGATGAAAGGGAAGGCGATCATACCTGAAGCAATGTGTTTGCTTGACGAATCCCCAGTTCCTCCGCAATATATTTAAGTCGTCCTCTTAGCCACAAGCGTTGGGAACTAGTTGCGAAGTCTGAGGCTGCCGCTGCAAACACTGGCCATATAGCCCAGACGCCTGTGACACCCTTACCACTTATTCTATTGATATCCCCGCATGGAAAATATGAATTTTCCACCATAGGGGAATTGTTATCTTGGGTGTTCCAGCCAAAGAAAAATGGGATGCTCGAGATGATATCATCAATGAGGAGGCTCGCCTGTCGCGAAACATTCACATACTCTGGTGTGAGCCTATAGTCGAGTCCAAAGCTGAGCCATGCGGTACATCGTAAGATGGTAGTTAGAATGAACAATCTTGAGGCGCGTGCAATGTTATGTGTTGTAGCCATCCAGAGCTCACCATATATATCGATTCTTCCTGGATGGCAGGCGGCGGATTCGAGGTCTTTCTCCGCTATGTCGTCAATCCAAGCCGCCACTTTTGGGGTCCAGTCATCCGGTAAATTGTTGTACCACTCGATGTATTCTTTTTCTATTGACTCGGCTTTTCTCAGGTGATTCAGTACTTTCTCAACATTGTCTGTGCTGTGCGCTTCGAGAGTGCATATTCGATGTGTTTCCGCACGCAAGTCGGCAACCTTGAGGTTGAGTGCGGATACTTCGTGTTGTACTTTGTCCTCTGATGCAAAAGATGTCCACCAGTCGACACCTCCCGGAACGTCTTTCGAACGGCTGATACATTCGACAGTCTATTATACATTAGTCTCATATCACTACAGTATGAAGTAAAATTGTACCATATGCGTTCTAACGGCGTCAAATAGAGAGCGCCCAATTTTTGTATTCAGCTGGCTCTTGCCGCGAGCCTTTACCAATGCCACAGCTCCATCAATATGAGATAACCATCCAATTAACGACATGGGATGTGAGCTGAGTTGCTACTCTGAGGGTAAGCATTTCATGTATGAAAAGGCAATGGGAATATTGTACCTCATAGAAGGATAACAAGAACACTGCTGCCAAGGTCGCGTCTTGCTTTGCTTTATTTACATCTTGTAGATCTTTGTTTATTTGATTTAAGGCCGTTACGTATTGACCATCAGCTAGAGGTAGCAGTCTTCTGGCATTTGGTTGATTTGCGAGAGCAACAAGAGCAACGGCATTTAAAGCAAGCATAAGTGTCGTCCCCGTTGAGCTTCCATACACGATTGGTATCAGGAAATCCAAATTTCCTTTAGCTGTGCGTCCACGTGGAAGCAAGACAAAATTAGATAAGAAAAAGCAGGTGGCTCGTTGATCAATCGGGGGTGAAAATTGGCGAGGGATGACTGTTTTCGCTGACCCAGGTAGGTCATTTCCAGTGTCTGAGATAGGTGACATCAAAACATTTGCATTTGTGGGATTGTATTCACCGTACGAAGACAACTGAGATGAGGCTATAGTTATGATGGGACCGATAGCTTTATAATTGTTTCCATCCTTTGGTGTGTTGATTTTCCTCTTCGTTGGTCGACTAGCTGCACTTTGGCTGGGTGACTGACTGTATGAGTCTATTGTAAAGGTTGAAATGCTTGTACTGAAAACTTCCGAAGCTTTCCGCTTGGTGGTTTTCGTTTGATCTCGAAGCTTAAGCTCAAAATCATCCCGATATCCTGTTACGTTCGTTAAACATGGCGTCGAGATTATGTTGACCAGAACACCATACCAGGACATTCTCGTTTTGATTTCTGACATCTCATGCACGTAGGCTTTGCCTCGTCACACTGGAATGATCCATTAGCCATCAATATTTCATAACCTGATGTAACATGTATCAAAGTGACGATGCATACCTTGATTCGTCTCGCTCTACATAAGTAGCATCCTTTCGATGGTTTTCCCGTGTTGACCATGACGAACTCTTCCAAGTATTTACGAGTTGTATGACAGACTCCACTGGAACTTACTAACCGTGATTATTCCAATCTGTGGTGCAGAAATGATAAGAGGTAATGGCGGCTGGTCAGTTGTGTTAGATTGATGTTGCGACTCAATATGCTGCGACTGGCACGGCAAGCTATCCAGGCCTCATAAAGTCAATTGTATAAGTTGTTTCCTGAGATTCGTTGCGAGGTTGATTGTAATGGTTATTCTGCTGAAGAACTTGTTCATGGCACAAAATATCCCGCACCCGACATGAAACCATCCAACGTTGTGGAGACAATTGATAAGATGGATAAAGGTTGATATCAAAAAACAATCACAAAATCTAATCCACACATGGGACAGATGTGGGACAGAATCAAGAAACCCCACCA